TCAACGAGTCACACGCTTGCTCGGAATGAGCACGCTTGACATGAACTTGTCCGAAATCGGCCCTCGCCGATCAGATGTCCCGTATGGCAGCGTCGAGATATATGCATATATCGATCCAAACTTTGAGGTCGAGATTGTTAGGGACTTCTGTGCTAGCATGTCTGCGTCCCCAGCGACGGATGTCTGCATTGTCTGCAACGGTAACGCTTGTCATCTCAGCGCTGTAGCCCCGCAGGGGGCCGTTCCACTCTTGCGCGGAACGCAGTGGGTTCCCAACGTTGGGGGGTCCAAGTCCAAGCTCTCTCTGCAGGACCGGCCGTTCGGCCTGACGCAGAGCGAGGATGGCACTCCTGCCGCTCGCGCTGCACGATAGGCCCGGCCCCTGTCCCCAGGCCCACATGTAGGTCCATGCGCTTCACCTCTCCCGGATGTGCGATTATTTGCGCAATGCGGGGAAGCAGCGACATTGGATTTTAGAAGATGCTGCCATAGACCAATTGGCTGAGGATACTGACCATGAGGAGGCCACCCGATTGTGGAAGCAAGTTGAAGCGAACTTTGCAGGTGGAGGCATGGCCTTGCATGATCAGTTGCAAACGCGAACGTTGCTCCACACATTGCAACATTCTGCAGTGCATGTTCCATTGGACACTGCCGCGCGCGCTCAATGTTGATGGCATGCGCGTCGACGGTGGCGCGAATTCTCCAGTTGAGTCCGGCCTGAGCCCGGGGTGTTTGGTCTCCTTCGCTGACGACGACGACGTGCGAAGCGTGGCCGTGGTCACCGAGATGGCGGGCCCTAGCGCCAGTGCTCGACAAGCTTTAGGCCAGATTGTTCTAGTCTGGGGAGCTGCGGCCGATAATGCGCGACATTTTGATGGAGACCCCGCCCCGTCGAAGCGCGCGTGGCCCAGAATGTTTTCAGTGCAAAAATGCGGCGGCGACCGAGTCTGGCAGAAGGCGCGCGAACTTCAACAGCAGTGGTGCGACGCTTTTGCGCTGGCATCTCAGCAGGCACCCCAAAAACGCACTTGCTTCTGCCCCCGATGTCCTCGCCACATAAGCAGGGCAACGACGGCGACCGCCCCCGTGCGGGAAGATGGGTTGCACTGGGGCCCGACAATATTGAGTCCGCGCGGTTGCGGGGACTCGGCAGTGCCAGTAATTCAGAAGCAGCGTCAAAAGTCGGAGGGGTCGTCTCTGAGAGACTTTCGAACAAGGGGTCGAACGGCCCCTGTGCCCAAGAATGACATTTATGACGATGCCGTCGTCGATGGATTTCTCGGGCGGCGACCCTGATTTTGCGAGCGCTGCGTTTTGCAAGTTGCACTGTTTGGGATTATCTGAGCCCGCTTCGCTCGCGCGCGAGATTGAAAACATGCAGTTCCTTGCCGCGAAGTTCGATGTATTTTGTCGCAGCGAACTGCGTCCTTCAACTGCCGTTGCCCATGATGCCTTCTTTTCTCATGTCCGTGGGGCGACCGCGATGCATCATTGCGCGGGTGCTTTCCCTGACTTGGCTATTTGCGTTTCCGACCGACTCCTTCAATCACTTCGGATCGACTGCTCAGTGGATTCGCCCGGTCAACAAAGTGTTGGTGGACGGGGCAGCCCATGAGTTTTGGCATCAGGTCGGCGATGCTACCCGCGCGCGCGTGAACATGCATCTGAATAGCCATTCGGCGGCCGCGCGAAGTGCCCAATGCCTGGGGGGAATGCATTATCGGGGGTGGCCGTAATTTCGTCGTGGACCCCATTCAACATTCATCTTCCCAGGGCGCTCGTTGGCGCCCGGGCCCAGGCGGGCCCGTTCAAGACGCCTGGAACGATCTCCTGGGCGCCCTCCAAGCTGCCCCAGGAGGTGGGCTTGAAGATGCTACTTTTCGCAGGGCTGGGGTGAATCGCAGGGGCAGCCGGCGGCGGATCGCCAACTCTTGACTTTGGGCGCGTCTGCTGCGATGCGTTGGGGCACGCGCATCGCCGGCAGCGCGTGCACATTGTGAGATCCATACCTCATGCGTGCGCCTCTGACCACCTTCCAGTTGCAGTCACTTTCCTCAGGCGGCCGGCGAAGAAACGACGCGCGCGTCTGACATCTGTCCACGAGCCCATGCCTGATTGGCTCATGTATGACACTCGTCTCTTGTCTACCTTTGCTGCAGCCGTGCAACAAGTGGTATGGCAGGAGCAGCGCCGGTCTGAACGGCCTGCGCGAGTTCCAGGACATTGCTCAGGCGTCTGCGGACGCGCATATAAAGAAGGAGCCTTGTCTTGCCCGCCTTGCTTCGCTTAGGTTCGATGGCGCGCTTTCTGCCAATCAATGTTGCCGCTTGAGTCCTGCCCAGTGGCTGAGACGACGCATGTCTGGAGAAGCGCCCGCGACGGTCGTCAACTCGGTCCCAAGATTACGTTCGCCTAGGCAAAAGCAACCGTCAATTCAGCTCCAAGGACTTCGTCCGCCAAGACGAGAGGAGCCGCCAACTCGTCGTCAAGACCGAGGTCGTTTCTAACAATCACCTCGGCCCCGACGCTTTGTTCGCCAAGACGGGGGGCGCGGCGAGGGGGGCCGTCAAGGGAGTTCATCAACTCGGAGGGGGGCCGTCGCGGGGGTTCGTCACCCTGGAGGGGGGCCGTCAAGGGCGCTCGTCAAAAGGGTTCGTTAACTTGGAGGGGGGCCGCCAAGTGCGCTCCTCGAGTCTGAGAGAGGCCGTAAGGGCGTTCGTCAACCCGGAGAGAGGCCGTCAATGGGAGCTCGTCCACTCGGAGAATTGACGGCCAAATCCTTTCACTAAGATGGAATTGACGGCCAAATCTTTTCATTGAGATGGAATTGACGGCTCGCGCGCCGGATAGAGCACACATGGCCATCCGCCGCGACGCCCAGGCCCACCTCCAGACCCACCGCCCGCGACAGACTCAAGCTGCCGAGCGGGGGCAAAGGGCTGTCTTGCAGGCCTCCTTTACCAGTGGATGGCAGTCTACCCTCATCTCCGAACATGTAATAGCTGATTATGACATGCTCCGAAGCACAGTCCAGGTGGCGGGCGCCGAGAGATTGCCGGCCCATCTGCGCGAGCTGCGCGACGACGCGGACCGCGAAAGCGCACCCCAAACCGAGCAGGACCAGAGCGCAGCCAGGCAGGTGGAAGCAATGGTTGGCGATCTCTGCAAGTCGTTCTTTCATGGGGTCCAGGCCGTGCGCGGGCGTTGTAGCTGACGCGGCTGCTCTTCGCAAGTCTGAGCGCTTCCAGCTGGAAAAGGCCGCGGGACGCAAGCGCAAATGATTTTGTTGACAACGCGCCTGACATTGGCCGATGTTTGCGCCAAGCCGCTCTCGAGCGCCAGGCTGCGTCGCGCGGCTGCCGACGGAACGTCGACCGAGTCTTGCGGGGATGGGGGGGGCAAGTAGCGAGCTGTCGCCATCCGACACCATTGCCCTTCTACTCGCACTCCCTGGGCGCAAATCACCGGGCGCGACTGGCGTGAGAGGGCGCTCGTACAAGCTGCATGCAGGCATTTTGGCCCCCGTTTTCATAAGGGGCATTTCAAGGAATAACAATCGGTGGAGCAGATGCCCCGCAGCACCTGGTAGACTTCGCCTAGCACGCCGTGCCGAAGGGCGCGCGGGCGGACGAGGTGGCAGACGCGCGCGACCTTGAGTTGCCAAACGAGGACGCAAAAATGTTGGGCCGCATGTTCGCTCACATGCTCGACGACGCTCGCGCCCCGCAGTTGCGCCGTTGGCAGGCAACCTTCGTCAGTGGAGGGCAGATTGGTCGCGACGTTGTCGGAGCGTCAGAAGCCATTGCAGACGTCCAAAGGCATCCGAGCACATGGCGTTTCTTGCTCTTCTTGGATTCTTCGAGAGGCTTGAACCTGTCGCCATGCGAATAGACGCAAGCTGTCTTCAAGCACATTGGCCTCCCGCGACCGCTGCTGCGAGGGATCGCTTCGCTCATGCACGCCCGCCGGCGCTTTTCTTAACCTGGCTGCGCGCAGCCAAGGGCGCCCTCTCAGCGTTTTTATTTACATCCTTGCAGCTGGCCCCTTCCTCTTCCAGGCATCGCGCCTCGTCGGCGTTCTTGGCGTTCGGGGTTTCTGCGACGACTGGGAACTGGGCGCGGCCGCGCCCGGCGCCCTTCTGCCGGCCGTTCGCTTGATTGCCGCCTGCGAGGCGGCATCTGGGCAGTCCATCAATCGGCGGAAGACCGCTCGGATTCCCAACTGCCCTCTCGCGGGCGGGGTAGAACGCCAGCCTCCTCTCAACATGGCCGGACGCGCACGCGGCCACTAAACGCAAGTCCCTCGGCCTCCGGTCCGGCCCAGATGCTACTTTTGAGGACGCGATGCGTGGCCCTTTGGACAAGCTGCGAGAGCGCTGGCGCTTGCTCCGTCGAGCGCGCTCCAGCCTGGCCACGCGCATCCTGGCCTGGGGCGTCTTTGATGAACCCATCCAGTCAGACTGTCGCAATGTTTGTCGTCTTCGACGCGCCCGCTGCGAGTGCTGTGCGAGCCATGGCCCCCGCCTTCCTAGAACGAATCACATGGTGCCCGTTTCAAGACTTCTGCCGCGCGCGCGTTGTTTCGAACTCTAGTGGAGGCGCGGGGCCCTTCTCTTGCAAACGTTGCCAGCCTGGTGGCGACGGCCCTCCGCTTGGAGCGCTCTGACTCCTTATCTGCGCCCCAGACAGCATTGGCAAGGGAGGGGTCGCGACGCGCAGGCGCGACGATTGCGACACCTGTCGTTCTTCGCTCAGGGCTTCCTTGCTCTTCATCGCACCACGAGGCGCACAGCCACTGAGGTTCTCCACGAGACGCCGCCTAGCCGTGGCAGCGGTCGCACTGCGAGCCGGATCTTGTGCCGAGCTCACCTGAACAACGAACGGCCGCTAGCTCGTGCGCTCGTGGTCACTCGGCTCCGGGCGCGCGGATTGGATTAGGGCCCTGTCGAACGCAACCTGCGGCACAAACCGTCTACGGTGCCGGGCGAGCACCGGATGGCGATGATGCGCAGGCTGCTCAATGGGGAACTCACGTCCCAGCAGCTTTCGGCTGCCCTTGGGCAAGAAGATCGACCGCTCCCATTCTGCGCGGAGCCATCTGCAGACAGCGTCAACACAAGGATGCGTGCACCGTCCTGCGAGCTTGCCGCCAGCAGTTTCCGCCGATCACGCTGCCCTCAGCGTGGCCGCGCTCTGGCTGCAAACAGATGCGACCGGTCTCTCTGACGACCCGTGGGTAATGGGCAACTCGACAAACACGTCACGAACTGAACGACGTGCCACACGCGCCCGCCAGCCGCCAACCATCCGTGAGGGCTGGGCCACTTGTGCCTCCGATGGCGCGGCCAGAGGTCAGGGTGGTGCCGGCGGTCGCGCTTCATCCTGCGGCTGCGTGCGTTACCAGGTGGGCACGCAGCGCGTTGTTGCCTCATGCGGCAGTTCTCTGGGGGACGCCACGAACAATTCTGCGGAATATGCTGGGTTCCACCTTGCAGTCCGCCACGCGCTACAGCACCCCGCGCGGCGCGTGCTCTTCCAAGTGGACTCTCTGCTTGTCGCGCGGCAGCTCTCTTGTGAGTGGCGGTGCCTGTCGGCAGATCTGAAAGCAGCCTTCGAGCAAGGTTAGGTTTGGAGCTTCTGTCAATTCTGCGGTCCATGGCTGGCGTGGGCGCAGTGGAAGTGTGCCATGTGTACAGCGAGAACAATGCCGACGCACACGGCATATGCAATGCGGGCCTTGTGTTGGTAGATGCTGGGATTGCCCCAGATGCCAGCAGGCACTACTGCAGCAAGAATTGGGCTCTTTTCTTGGAGCCCAGTCCATAGCTCAACCGTCGGGCGAGGTACCCGTCGCCCTCCCAACTTCCCCGCCGTTTGGGCTCCCCCCCCTCTTGCCAATTCTCCCCTCTTTGTCGGTTCCCCGGCTTCGCTGTTTCTTCTTGCCCTGCCTTCTGGGCTGGCACTACTCCCTCTTAAGTCCGGTTTGTCCGGCAGCTGCACCCGAACCACGTTGATAGTCTTCGGACTGTATCTGACGATTTTCATCGCAACTTCGACGGACATCTTATCTTCCGAGCCGCCTCTCGGCTAACAGCCAACATCCAGCTGAGCAGACGCATCCTCGTCTCACAGCAGCTTTCGTTCGTGCCAACGGCAACACGCCAGACGATCCGATAAGCAAACGTGTCGGGGGGGGGGGGAAGCAAAACAGAAGTCCTCCTCTCCCCCCTCCCTCCTCCCTCTGCCCCCCCGCCCCCCCTGCAGGCCACCCTGTTGGCGGCTCTGGCCGCCAGCGGGCGGCAGGCCGCCGGCGGGGATCCTCACGGCGCTGGCTCGCGGCCGGGGGGCCCAGGTGGCGGAGGGGGGGCAGCGAGTGAAGGGGGGAGGCGTGGCTTGGAGTGGCCCTACGTGGAACGCACAAGGACACACCAAGGCTGGGCAAATTGTATCACGTCAAATTAATTCCTACGTCTCCAATTAGCGAATGGATCGAGCGAGCACGGCACAGCGAATTGTAGGAAAGCGCGAGCCACGCGTTCGCACACCACCGAAACATACATCGCTGTTACCTACATCGCCGTTCGCCTGTCTACCGATATTCGAGGACTACAAGGCTAGTCAAGCATGTGCTGATGGTGATTGTTTTCGGTGCTTGTGTGGTCGGCGCTGCCTCAATGTTGGCATGATACATTTGGCCCAGACGCAGGGGTGTCCGAAATCCGGCAATACCCTCACAGAGCACTGAGTAACGCGTTGTCTGAGAAGTGTCCGAACTATCCAGCGCTTCGATTTCAACCACTGTGCCAATGTATGTTTGACAAGGCTTGTATGTGTCCTTATTGGTGGCGCGCGTCCGAATCGAACATCTGATACAAGCATATTGTATCATATCGTTTCCCGAGCGGCATGGCCCGAAAGCGCCCGCCACCGAGCTGATATTATCAGATTTCTCGGTGCGCGCGTCACGCCTTTGGGGGCGACGCACACATAGTACTAGTTATGTTTGGGTGGCGCCCACTAAACGCGGTCAGGCGGGCTTACTCGAAGCCCTCGAGGTCGGACATTCCGTTTGAAAGCAGAGCCTGACCCTGCAGAAGCTCGCTGGATCGCTTGTCGCACCAAGCCCTGCACGCGTGGGCGATCGTCGGCAGTCAGGCCGAACGCTCGGAGCACGGGATCCTTCCCACCCCAGTCCCCCCGCCCCACGTCGACTGGCGAGCGGGAGGAGGCCTGGAGGGAGAACCCAGACAGGCTCGCGCCGTTTTATGTACAACAGAAACGACGGGAGGTGTTTGCCCGCTTTCGGCCTCTGGGAGCCCTCGCTGGGCCCCGGGACCGTCGTGAGAAAAGGAGGCGGAGGCCCTGGCGGGGGATGGACTGGAAGAGGGGGCAGGCGGAAATGGAGGCATAGCATAGCGAGTGCATGGCGATGCGAGAGCATAGCGACGTCGTCCGTCTGTCCAGTCCCCTCACCGAGCGAACTGCCTGCGAGTGGCCGCGCTCGCTTGCCGCTGCCGCCCGAAGGCCATACAGCGGCCTCGCTTTTCCTAGACAGCGAACCAGGAGGGTCCGCAGCGATGGGGACAGAACAAAAAGAGGCAGAGGAGGAGAGAGCAGGGTGGGACGGGATCGCCAGCTCTGACGCCAACGTGAGAAAGAGGAGATGCTGCGGCACGCGCCCAGTGGACAGCAAAAGCCCTCATCGTGACCGATACGTGATGTGGCTTTCGATACAAGATTTGAAAAAGCGCGTTCTGTGGGCGCTTGGAGGGGGCAGGGGGGCTCCCTTCGAACCCTCCACCCTCCCACGGGCCTGCGCCCGCGCCGGCCCTCCCGGGCCAGCGCCGTCGCCGGCGGCGGGGAGCGTCGACGAGGACAACGATTCAAGGGGGGAGGAGGGGTTCGAACCCCTCCTCCCTTCCTCCGAGCCGGCGATGGCGACGGCGTCGGCTGGCCACGACGACGGCGGCGCCGACGACGACGACGACGACAACGACGACGACGACGACGATCACGACGACGACGACGAGCGCGACGACGACGACGACGACGACGGCGGCGACGACGACGGCGACGACGACGACGACGAGCACGACGACCACGACGACGGCAGCGGCAACGAGCACGACGACCACGACGGCGGCGACGACGACGAAAACGAAGACGACGAGACGACGACGACGGCGACGACGACGACGACGTTTGCGACGACGGCGACGGCGTCGACGGCGACGACAACGACGACGACGACGAGCACGGCCACGACGACGACGACAAGGACGACGGCGGCGACGTCGGCGACGACGACGGCGACGACGACGAATGTGACGACGGCGACAACGACGACAACGACGACGACAGGAGCGACGACGACGACGAGGATGAGGACGACGACGACGACGACGACAACGACGACAGCGACGAGTACGACTCCGACGACGGCGACGACGAAGACGGCGACGGCGACGACGACGACGACGGCGAGGACGTCGACGACGGCGACAACCACAACGGCGGCGGCGGCGACGACGACGACGACGGCCACGACGACGGCGACGACGGCGACGACAACGACGACGACGGTGACGTCGACGACGAGAACGACCACGAGCACGACGACGACTTCGGCGACGACGGCGACGATGACGACGACGACGGCGCCGACGAAGATGACGACGACGATGGCGACGGCGACAACGACGGCGGCGACGACGGCGACGACGACGACAACGGCGACGACGACGACGACGACATCGACGAGCAGGACGACGACAACAACGACGACGACGAACACGAAAGTGACGACGACGACGACGACGAGCACGACGACGACGACGGCGAAAACGACGACGACGACGATGACGACGGCAACGACGACGACGTCGACGACGACGACGACGGCAGCGACGACGGCAGCGACGACGACGAGCACGACGACGACGACGACGGCGCTGACGACGACGACGAGGACGGCGACGACGACGACGGAGGCAACAACGACGACGACGACGACGACGACGACGACGACTACGGCGTCGACGGCGACGACGACGGTGACGACGACGACGGAGGCAACGACAACGACGAACAACGACGACGACGACGACGACGACGACGACGACGACGGCAACGACGGCAACACGACGACGGCGACGACGACGACGACGTCGAACACGACGAAGATCAAGACGACGAAGACGACGAAGACGGCGACAACGATGACGAGCACGACAACGACGACGATGACCACGACGACGACGAAGACGGCGGCGACGACCACGGGGACCACGACGACGACGAGCATAACGACGATCATAACGACGACGACGACGACACGACGGGGACACGACGACGACGACGACGACGACCACGACGACCACGACGAAAACGACGGCGACAACGACGACGACGAAGACTACGAGGACCGCGTCGACGACGACGACGACGACGGCGACGACGGCGACGACGACGATAACGACGACGACGACGGCGACGGCGACGACGACGGCGACTACGACGACGACGACAACGACGACGATGAGCACGACGACGACGACGGCGACGACGACGACGAATAGGACGACGACGGCGAAGGCGACGACGACGACGACGACGGCGGCGACGACGACGACGAAGACGACAACGACGTCGGCGATGACAACGACGAGGTCGACAGCGACGACGACGGCGAAATCGACGACGACGACGACGACGACAGCGACGACGGCGACGAAGTCGGCGACGACAAAAAAAACGATCACGACTGCAATGACGACAACGACGACGACGACGACGACGACGACGACGACGACGACGACGGCGGCGGTGGCGGCGGCGGCGACGAAGGCGCCGTCGACGACGATGGCGACGACGGCAACGACGACGACGACGACGACGGCGACGGCGGCGACGACGGCGACGACGACGGCGACGACGACGAATATGATGACGGCGACGACGACGGCGACGACGACGATTTCGAGCGACGGCGACGACGACGACGACGACAACGACGACGACGACGGCGACGACGGCGACGATGACGACGACGGCAACGACGACGATGACGACGACCAAGACGACGGCGACGACGACGACGACCACGGGGACCACGACGACGACGAGCATAACGACGACGGCGGCGGGGAGCCTCGACGAGGGCGACGATTCAAAGGGGGGATGGGGGGTTCAAACCCCCCCATTCCTCTGGGCAGGCGCCGGCGACGGCGCCAGCTGGCGGCGTCGGCGGCGGCGGCGCGGGCGACGACGACGACGACGACGACGACGACGACGACGTTGACGACGACGACGACGACGACGATCACGACGACGACGGCGACGGCGACGGCGACGATGGCGGCGACGACGGAAAGCGCGGGAGGTACGCGACGCAACGCGAAACAAATATTTATATCAGAAGTCCAGGCCCGTCAATATTCCGACACTCAGGGCCGAGGACAGAGGACTACAAGGGACCTTGGCGTCGTCGTCGTCTTCGTCCTGGTCATCGTCGCCGCGTCGCCGCAGTCGGCGCTGCCAGCCGCCGCCGCCGACGCCGCCAGCGCGCCGCCGCCAGCGCGCTGGCACCGGCGCCAGGGGGGGGGGGAATTCGGGGAGCGGGGGGGAACGGGGGGAGGAGAGTCCCCCTGGTTCTGCTCGACGGGGGGGGAACGGGGGGAGGGGAACTCGGGGAGCGGGGGGGGAACGGGGGGAGGAGAGTCCCCCTGGTTCTGCTCGACGGCGCCGAATGTTCGGGGGGGGGGGGGGGGGCCCCAAACGCGCCGCCGAATGTTCCTAAGGCAATCGCCCGTGAAACGCGCTCCCTTCAGAGACTTCAAAACAAAAGGCCCGAAAAGAATAATCGGGGGAGAAGGAATCACGGAAAGCTAAAGGGTCGGAGGTCCACGCTGATTTTTCGGGTCGGCGATGGACCCCCCCGCCCGAATGCGGAGCGCGCCAGGGGCGGCGCCGGAGACGCCGAGAGGGGGGCTCCAACGCCGATCCGAGAAATCCGCGCGGACCTCCAGAAGCTTCTGTTCATGTCCCTGCCTGCTCCCCGAAAGAAGCTCTGGAGACGAAGGCCTGCAGGCAGGACCCCACGGGGGCCCATCGGTCCCTGCCGCGAGGCGCCGCCAGCGTACATCCACGCCGCCAGTGGCGCCGGGCACGCGCCGACGCTGCCGTGCTGCGGCGCCAGCGCGCGCCCGGGGGCGCCGGGCCGTGCCACCGCCAGCTGCAAGGAGCCCCTGCCGGCCTGGCGCCCGTCCCGCCCCGTCACGAGGGGCGGCGGTGAAGGCATCGTGCTGCCAGGAAGCAGCTTCAAGCTGGAACACAGACCTGTCGGACGAAGCCAGGACGAGGATCGAATCGGACGAGGATGTGTCGAGAACCTCTGGGATCCGGCGGCTCTGGAGGATGTCTCGGGGGCCGCGGCCTTCTCAGAGCGCCCCAGAGAGCTCTCAGAGCGTTCCGGAACGCTCTGGAGCGGACGTATCCTCCTCCCAGCCCCGCCCGAGCCTGGTTGGGCTCATGATTTGAGGAACATCTGGGCGCCGCGCGCTGGACACACGTGTGGAGGGCCAGCGTGCCTGACCATGCAGGGGCCGAGGGCCGAGCGCTGGCAAAACATCTGGCAGTAGGTGTATCCAGCTCTCGCCGAGGCCGGCCGCCTCAGGTGTCCCCAACTTCCTGGTACAATCGGAGCAACGTAAGGACTCGGGTTGGCCTGGCAGAGCCGCCAGGAAAATGACGAGGCCCAATCTGAAATTTGACGGGAGCCCCCGCTGCAAACATCCCACGACAACTGGACCGTCAACGTCTCGGACGGCCTCGTCAAACGTCGTCGGCAACTGCGAAGCCCGACGACCTCGAGAGCCTTACGCTGTGTCCCTGCTGCAGTGAAGATCGCCAGCAAAGAACGGGCAGGCCTTTCTGGCCACGGCGAGCTTCGGCCTCGAGCAAGTTCCCCGACCCAGGTCCAGGGAACGGCCCCGAGACCGGAGCCCGTCCTTGGCTCGGAGGGGTCCCACTATCATCGTCTTGGCTGTGGGGGGGGGCCCGCCCACGGGGGGAGACATTGAGCCGGAGTCGGCGATACATCGCCGATAGATTGGCGAGAGGCCCCCGATAGGCGCCCCTCCCTCCCCATCACGACGGGCGGCGGCAGGGGAGGGGCGGCTCACAGGGGGCCCCTGAGATCCCGCCGTCGCAATTGTGTGTTCGGGTCGGGCATGTTCACACAACTTCTGGCCCCGGAGCCCGCACGGATCGATCGGGCTTTGAACAACATGTAAGCAGAAGATGGGCTCCGGGATTCTGGCCGTGATTTGTTCACAATGCACTGTCGGATCCCACGGAATATCGAGAGGCCCTCGATCGGCGCCGGTCCCGCCCCATCGCCTATGTATACGGTCAGGAACTGTTCCTTGGCGTGTCGCGGCGGCAGCCCTGGCGACACGCCATGCGCTGCGAACGGATAGCGTATCGTTACGCTGCGCGTGACGGTAGGCCAGGGAAAGCTAGGGGCGTTGACAACTGGGGACTGGGATGTGGTTAGCTGGTCGCGCCGAAGCGTGGTGTCCCAGCGCCGGCGGTGCGTCACGCTGAGTCAACGTTCCTGACTGTCTTGTGCATTCGTGCAAAAAACAATAACCGCAATGGAGCAAGCAAAAACACTGGTCGTTGGGACGGGGTCAAGATCCCACGGGGGTCCAAGCTGTGAAAAATCACGACGCCGTGGCCTGGGAATACGAGATCACGGTGCGATAAAATCCGGGGGTCCACGTTGTGAGACATCACGACATCGAGGTCTGGGGGCGGGAATGCGAGCGGTTATAACACACAGGCGAGACAACCACGCAGACAGCAGGAGACGTTCACACATCAAGACGTGACGACTAGACTCGACAGACAACGAGAGATGCGTGCAAACATCAGAGGGACAGTATAACAGGAATCACATGTACAGACAACAGGAGACAAGGACGTCCCATGGGGGTCCACGCTGTGATACTCAAGGACGTCCCATGGGGGTCCACGCAGTGAAACGTCGCCACGTCGGCGATGCTGCAACTTTCGCCGATCGTCGGATGCCAGCCGAACCAAGGTCGCCGCAGATGCCCGCCCGCTTGAGGCACGGCCGCAAGAGGTGTGCCAAGAACACGGTCCCCTCCACCGAATGCCCGAGGCCCCACGGAAGGAGGATATCCCGAACATCGCAGACGTCGGCGGCGAGCCCCGGGGGGAGTGGGAGAAGGGGGGGGGCAGGCCGTTTCTCCGAAGGCGAAAGACAACTCCTCAGAAGGCGCGGGGGCTTCTGAAAAGCCCGGCCGCCTTCGGAGAAGGCCTGCCCCCTCTTCATTTCCCCTCCTCCCGGCGCGCCGCCGAACAAAAAAAAACAAGCAGCACTCCAAGGTTCGGGGGTTGCTGAAGGCGCCCCCAGCTTGTCGCTCCGTCTTGGAGCCCGCGGGGCTCTCCGGGCCTCGCGAGAGGTGCTCTGGAGGCCGTGGGCGGCCCTCCTCGGTGATCCTGGGGCCCTCGGGGGCAGGGGCACCTCTGACAGCGCCCGAAACGGTGAAAAACCCGAGCACGACGAGCAGAGGGGCAGCACCTCGCGGCCAGGGCTGGCCTGACCCGCCATGGGACGCACAAGAACATGCTGGTGCTATATGATTATGTCATCCTTGGAGGCGTGCGTCCGACCCGAAAATTGGGACCATCGCCCGTGCGTCTCGCGTGGGCTTGGGGGGGGGGGCGCCTTGATTGGCGACAGGCGCCGTCGTCCAGGGGCGCACTAGGCTAGGGCGGGCGGGTCGGCGTGGGCTGCGAGCTTGCTTCAATCCCACGGGGGGCCTTTCGAAGGGCAGTGAAAGACCCGACCCTAGACGGGGGCACCCCGCGCTCCGCCTCGCCCACCTCTCTCTGGGGGGCGCGCCGGGGCGCCGCGGTGTTCGCGCGCTGGGCGCGCGCGGCGAGCGGCGCGCGGTGAGCGTCCGACCTGTGGCCGCAGATGCGGAAGCCAAACAACAATAAAATAGAATGATGCTGTAGTGTTCCGTTTCCCGACTGGTATGGCCAGAAAGCGCTCGCAGCGGAGAGCTTATGCTATCAGAGTTCTCGGTGCGCGCGTCGCCCCAAAGGGGAACGACGCACACATAGTAGTGGTATGCTGGGGTGACGCCGACGTCGTGCCAGCCGTGCCTAGAAGGACGGACGGACATCGCGTCGAGCAGCAGAGCTCTTCCCTGGAGGGCTGGGCGCTCAGCACCGCAGTCGCTCAGAGATCGCCCTCGTCAGCGTCGAAGAAGGAAGACCGAATCGTCGAGGGATCCTCGTGGTCGTCGTCGTCGCCGATACCTCCAAAGCTGGGGTCGGTCTTACCCGTCGCACCTGCTGCATACCACAGGCCTCGGGCGCTCGCGCTCCTCGCTGTGCAGGGCCAGTAAGTCAGACCCGTGCCTGGACGGCACAGCGGCGGCAGGGCCCAGCTGCAGCACGCACTGCTGCTGGCGCTCGGGAGTCGCCTGGCTCAGCAACGGCGTATTCTTGTGCGGGCCACGCGGCATAATATCAAGGCCGATCAGCAGGCCCCCAGAGGCCTTCGAATGGCATCTGATTCACGACCCAGGTACGGTGTCGGAATGGGTCGGAGGCCATTAGAGCTGGGCCGGCACGGGAACGGGAAGAGCGCCGCAGGAACTTGCCCGAGAGGGCTCATGGCACCCTTCGCTCTTGGGAGCCTTGGTGTGAAGAGCTTGTTGCGTCGCCGCTCTCCATTGGGAGCCCTGGTATTCAGAGTTTATTACGTTGCCGCTCGCTCTTGGGAGCCTTGGTGTGACGAGATTTTTACGTCACCGCTCTCTGGGGAGCCTTAATTTCCAGAGCTTGTTACGTCACCGCTCGCTGATGGGAGCCATGGTGTTCTTGAGCGTCTCTTGGGCCTCGTCGGGGTCTTCTCGGAGCCTTTTTGGAGCCCTTCGAGAGCCCTTTTGGGGCAATTTTGGCCCGTCTTTGGGCCCTTTTGGGCCGTTTGGGGGCGTCTTCAAAGCCTTTAGCCGTCTTGGAGCTTTCTTGGGGTCCTCTTGGGAGCCTCCTCGGGCCCTCTTGGGGCTCTCCTGGGGCCGTCTTGGGGCCCTCTTAGGCCGTCTTGAAGCCCTTTGGGGCCGTTTTGGGCCCCTCTGGGGCCGTCTGGGGGCTCTCTTGGATCGTTTTGGGCCCCTTGAGGGGGCCTCTGGGGCTGCCTGGGGAAAAGCTTTGGGGCCTCTTCGGCAGTCTGGGACCCTTCGGGGAGAACCCGAAAAACCACCAAAGACCCAAGAGATCAATGTTTTTGGCCGCCTCTGGCCCTCTCGGGGGTCCTCTGGAGACCCTCTGGAGCCGTCTGGAGGCTCTCTTGGACCGTCTGGAGGCCACCCGAAGCTTTCTTGGGGCCGTTGTTGGGTCGTTTTGGTGGGGGGCTGGCCATTAATCGGAGAATTCCGCGCCTTTCCCCCCTCTGCACTCCCACTAGGGAGGCGCAAGCGCCCAACTCAACGTACATTGCTCGTACCTCGCTCCTTCCGTCATCCGAAGCCCCCTCTTGCTTGCGAAGGGACGCGGCGTGGCCGACTTTATATTCACCCTTGGGGCACTTCCAAAAGACGGTTCCGGACGGTCTCTGGCTCAATCCGCAAGCCACTCGGAAAATACAGCCTCAGTCGGCTTTCCCGCTTAAGATGGCCCCAAGAGGGCCCCCAATATGGCCGAGATGCTACCAGGATGCCTCCAAGACAGCTCAGGATACCTTCAAGATCGCTACAAGACGGCCCCAAGATGGCCCAAGAGGCCCCCAAGAGGGTTCCCAAGAGGGTCCCAGTATGGTTCCAAGACGGCTTACGATACCTTCAAGACGGACAAAGAGGAATCCAAGAGGCTCTCCAGGAGAGCCCGAAGAGGCCAACAACGTTGTTTCCCTTTCTGTTGTTTATATGAATTGTGCGTTCTCATGTTTTCGAGGTTCCACGGCACCAGAGGCCTCAAATACAACCCCAAGACGGCCCAGGAACCCGCACACAGGGTCCCAAGTCGAGCCAAGCGGGCATCAAGAACGCTGATTATGCCTCCAAAGCGGTCCCAAGACGGCCAAAAATATCTCCAAGACGGCCCTGCAGCGCCCCAACAAGGCGCCGAGACTGCCAAACTCCTGCGGACGGCACGGCCCTCGTCGTCGCCGACGAGGACGACGACGGCTCGTCGCCGGCGAAGACGACGACGGCGGCGTCGACGACCACCACGAAGAACCCCCTTCACTGCCACCCCTCTGGGATCTCCGTAGACGGAGACTCCGGCCGACGCAGGAGGGCGGCATTGTCCTGCCGCGACCCCACGCGGAGAGCGGAGCTCTCCTGCCGTTGCCCTGCCACCCTCCTTGCACTACGCGAGCGCGTTCCATGACTCGCAAAGCCACTGATCGCAAATGGCCTGGATCCGCCGCGGGGGATGCACGTTCCAGGACAAGTGGGAAGGCTGCTTTCCACGGACTTTTGCGAGCAAGTGCTGTGCGGCTGCCGACACACGTCACTGGGTAGACCCGCCCCTCGTGGCGCGGGCCCCTCCCCGCGGCCTGCACGGCCGGCTCCGCCAGCGAGGGCGCCGCCGCAACGGCGGGGCCCGCGGCGGACTGCAGGCGGCTGAGCGACGGCGGGTCGCCGAAGGCCTCCGCCCTGCCCCGCCTCCTCCTCCTCCTCCTCCTCCTCCTCCTCCTGCTCCTCCTCCTCCTGCTCCTCCGCTCCCTTTCTCGCCCTCTCTCCTCTTCGCATACAATATCCTCCTCCTCCCCCTTCTGTGGAGCTCCCTATGGGGCCACGAAGCGTGTGAGGGGTGTGCCGAAATTGGTGTGGGTAACGCATGCGGGCGGTGGCACTGGTGCCTTCGGCGGAACTCCCTATGGGGCCACGAAACGTGCGAGGGGTGTGCCGAAATGGATGGGTAGCGCATGCGGGCGGTGGCACTGGGGTCTTCTGTAGAGCGCTCCCTATGGGGCCACGAAACGTGTGAAAGGTGTGCCAACATAGGTGTGGGTAATGCATGCGGGCGGTGGCACTGGTGCCTTCGGCGGAACTCCCTATGGGGCCACGAAACGTGCGAGGGGTGTACCGACATGGGTGTGGGTGACGCATGCGGGCGGTGGCACTGGTGCCTGCGGTGGAACTCCCTATGGGGCCACGAAGCGTTGTACTGGGTGGGCGAAACGCAAGGAGGAAGGAGGGGGAGGAGGGGGAGGGGGGAGGAGGAGGAGGAAGGAATGAAGGAGGAACGCGGGGACCGTCTCCTCAAATCGAGGACCCAACACCATAGGATGGCTGGAAAATATTCGAGTGGACGCCATAATAGCTGGCATCTAGTGGGAACGCAAACAAACAGTGTCGATGTGGCAGCCTCACATTAGGAATCGTTTCGGGAGCCTTACAACACAATTCCTTACACGTTTTCATTTAACGGCAGATGAGATGTTGATGTCT